GTGGTTGCACTCTCCAAAGCCTACACAAAACCACAGCTGACTGTCACAGCAAGGCAGCGCTTTTCTCAGATGCTTTATCTTTGTGGGTAGCTGAGATGCTCAGAGGTGCTGGCACACCCACGCCACTTTTTCAGCCTCAAACACCAATTGAAAAAACAGGTCATGAGTTTCCTGCAGGTGTGCAGTGACCACCAACATACCACCAAGCCCTTGCCTGGGTGGCCTCATTTACCCAAGCAAGCCAATTCAGCTGAACCCAGCATCAGTTTTACCTGAAAAAGGGATTCAGTGTTCCGACACGTTCACATTCCCAGCTGGCAACCCCATGCTGATCCACGCAGGAGCTGAGCAGTCACTAGCACAGCTGACAATCCCCCTTGGCCTGTTTGCTGTGCGCTGCAGCCTCTAGCAGAGTCAATCACAGTGGCCAAGGCACACGGGCTTTGCTTCCCCCACTACCAGTCGAGCACACCCAGTTCTGTAGTTACCCAGCATCTTCACCAAACCCAAACGGCTCCAATACATCACGTCAAACTCACTGTCATTCCACGGGTAGCTAAAGAGCTCCACGTCAGCTCCCTAATTAGTCATTTTTAAATATGCCTTAACTTTTCCCATGCTCTCATGCCTCATTTGCCCCATTTGAGATTACACACCAGTGTTTTCTCAAGCTGGCAGTTATCACTCACAGCTCCAGAGGCTTGGAAGGACAAAGGCATCTCCAGGCACTGGGTCAGGGCAGAAGACCCAGATCCACTTCCGCTCCGCCCTGCAAGCCTGAGCACTGCTGCCACACCAAGCACAGCCATTCCCATCCAGTTCTTTGAGATCTACGGTGGATATTTTAAATTATTTTTTTCCTTCTTGCAACGCCCCAAAGAAATTGTATCTATCCTACAAGCACTCGTGCTGGCTCAGAGGGGAAGATCCCAGCTGGCTGCAGACACAGAGGGCTGGCAGCCGCAGAGGCACTCCACACAGGCAGATACTGGTCAACCCAAAGCACACGGTGCTTAGCACCAAAATCCCCCGCAGCGATGCCCTTAGCACAGCCAGCCTAAGGACCTGACTGCTGGTCAACCTTCAGGACTGGAGAGACCAGAGGGGCATCGCCAGGGAGGAGGCATCTCAGGCCAGGGCTCGCTTCTCCACGCTGCTGCCAGAATATGACACTTTGCCTTCCACCTAAAGCAAACAGCAATAGGGAGGAAGCAATGCTGGGGCCCCTGTCCTTCAGGGCCAGCCAGCAGAGCTGGGAGGCAGCAGAACAGGGCAGCCAGACCCTTCTCTGACCCAGGGCAAGCTCAGCTCCACATCATCTCCAGCTCGGGAGTGTGCTGCACTGGAGAAGCATTTAGTTGCTCTCTTCTCCCATACAGGAATAATGTGAATTTGGCAGAGCACAAGCTCTGCTCCCCAGGGCTCAGAAGGGGAGACATTACTTCATCCACTTCCTACAAGGACAATAACTAACCCAATGCAGGAAAATCCATTCCATCTGATTGACAACTACAGAGCTGGAGGCAGACACTGCCCGCATCTTCCACCTGCCCTTGAAGTTGTTCATCAAGGAGCTGAGGCTGAGCTCTCTCTTCCCAGCCCTGGGTGTGCACAGCCACAAAGGATGCTCAGAGCCTGGGTCTGTGATCCACTGCGAACAAGCTGAGATTTGCTTTAGGAGACCTCCTGCTCAGGAACTGTCAAGCCTTCCCATAAGTTGTGTAGGAAGTTGAGGGAAAACAGGGTATTAATCTACCAAATACCCAGATGGCTCCTCAGCATGCTTTTAGCACAAGGCTAGAGGCTTCCAGCAGGACTCAAACCACTACGAGTTTTTCCTGAGCCACATGTCACCTCTCTTCTGGGGAAGCTGCTTTCTGGGGCTCTGCACCAAGAGGAGACAGGACAGTAATGGAGTAGACGTTCCTGCTCGAGGGCTGGCTCTTCTTGGATATGCTGTCTCCTAAAATTCACATACGAGTACTGGCTCTGATCTCCCCCTCAAAGAGGGTGAGATCCTGCCCTGAGGTTTTTGCTTCTGCATTACATCCTTACAGAGCCACCGAAGGAAAATGATCTGCATAATTATTCTTACTCCTGACAGCAATAAAATCATCTCAATATATAGTGTCTGTCAGCCACCCACAAGCTCAGTGGGGCTTTGCTAATTACTGAAGCTTCCTGCGCTGACAAAGAGATCCCAAGGGATGTGGCGATTGATGAGGAAAAACTGTGCGGAGGAATTTCAGTGCTGCACAGCACAAGGTCCAGTGGGCACGGCCAGCAGGCTCCCGCATGCAAGCACAGAATCTGGTCTTACACCTTGAAGAGCACCCATCATATCATAGGAGGTACTTCTTGGAGACAGGAGTCTAACATGAGTCAGGATTTAGGGAGCTCTGAGCAGACAAGCGAGTCTCCTTCCAGAATTCCCTGCACCTCCTGTCTCTGGCAGCCTCCTTCACTTGCACAGAGCATCTGCTGTAGGTGTTACTGTTTCTGGGTGCTGTGGCATTGCTGAGTTTGTGCCGAACCTCCAGCACAGCTCTGGGAAGCTGTGACATCTCCTTAACCACGTGTCCCTGAGCAGAGCTCACCCTCCCACACCCAGCGCGTGCTCTGCTGTCTCTGGTGGCAATGAACATCCCGACTGCAACAAACGGGGTTCGATGGACAAACAGCAGCACTCAGGGCAACCAGCTTGGGCATCTCACCTAAGAAGTAAAAGAATATCTAAGCTTTATAAAAACTAACTTGGTTGAAGCTAGATTCCATAAAGTTATTTTCCCACACGCACATGGAGTGGGCTAAAAGCTCCCTGGGAAGGGCCAAGCAACCAACCAGACCTTCCAGCGGGTCCCAGTGCAGAACCCTTTCCAAACCTGAATGTGTGCTTGGCACGCAGATCCAGACACCCTTTCTGACACCACAGTCTGATGTTAAGGTGATGGATAGGGATGACGAGTAGCCCAGAACATCCCAAGTCACCTTCATTTCAGTATGAGCTGGGATTTTTCCCACCCAGACACATGTATGTGGGGGAAACAGAGGAGTTTGGAGATGTAAAGCACCAGAGGTCAAATTTTCATTGTAAATCACTATGCTCTTAGCAGAAAAGACATTTTCTTCACACTCATATGTAAAGGTTGTAGCGACAGGACTACTGTCACATGCGCAGTCTGTCCAGGGGACAGCACCTGTATTCCTAACCAGGACACTCTAAAGGACGCACAATTTAAATCGACCAACAGGCAGATAAAATTGTAACCTATTCACATTGAAGAGCTCCATGTTCGCTAAGCAATGTAGGGGCAGATTTAACCCAATTTCAGCAAAAATTGAAGCAACACAACACGCACCTGATCCTGCTCAAGTCACACCAACACCAGCGTGACTCATCCAGAACTCCCGCCACGCGTGAGCAAGCCCATACAGATGCACAGCCAAGCAAGGAAAACGCTTCCCAACACCCCAAATTGCTATTTTGCTCTTGGCGCTTCTGTTTCCTAATAAAGCACGTTGGTGGCTCTGAAAGAGCAGCACAGCGGCTTTTTGTATGCGAGTCACAGGGAGGCTGACTTCGTACAGGACAAATTAGCCAGGGTAGCCGCGCAAGGTTGGGCAACTGTCTGGTGCTCTGCACCGCACCTGCAAGAAGCAGGTTTTAAGATTGATTAAATGTTTCAGTTTCACTTGAGCAATTAATCTCAGCAGCCTTTTCCTTATTTGTATGCTTCAAAGCTAGAGAGATAATACCTTAATTATTCCCTTGCTCTCCTCAATCCGTGGTTCATTGAAAAATAACGGCAGCATTGTACGGACAGGCAGGAAGGGAATCCCAGGTTCATCTCCCAGGTAGCTACACGTGTTCCTGGGAGATCACCCATCTCAGAGCAGCAGACAGTTTGTCTCCCTGGCCTTTCCATGCAAAGATTCACCATGGAGGAACCAGGTGTTTCAGTAAGAACAAGACTGGGGTTTTCAGAGGAAGCCATGAAGATCCCGGCCCTACTTATCTGCTCAGTCATCTCAGTCACAAAGTATGAACCCTCCAGCCCTCACCTCTAGTGTTACTACTGATTTCTCCTAGAGAGAGATGTAGGCCTCTGAATTGTATCCTAGAGATTCTCTATACACATAGAAACGAGGCACTTTTTGTGCTTCTCTATCTGAAATTTCACTAGTTCTCTAAAGAAAGTGTTATCCAAGCCAATGAGCTCCTCTGAGTGAGCACAAACCATTCCCCACGAAGATGGCACTAACTGAAAAACATTAAACAAAGCTAGGATAACTCAGGAGGCTACAAAGAGTATTTGGAAGATATAAGAACATTTTTATAACTTCTGCAAACTCAAGACAACTCAAATGCTCATTGCTGGGTAAGGCATCACAGTACCGCCTGGCTTTGGACATCACGCTTCCCAGGACCAAAGTCCAGGAATAGGGACAAACCAAACCTCTCTTTCAGGCACGAGAAAACGTCCACCCAACGCATTCACGCAGCTGAGAAGGCATCTTGCTCGGCATGGCAAAAACCAAGGCCGGCAGAAGCATTTCAACATCGCACCTTTTTCTGGAGTTTTCCCCACTTGCTGTTAAAGTGACTTATAAAGTGTTTCTCTGGCCTGATCTTGGCTTCTCGTACCTTAGTATAAATTTCAGATGTATCTCGGGAGGCAGAGAGCTCTTCCTGCCAAATCCCAAGAGCCCTCAAGTCCTGGCTACTTTAGTCCCCGTGTTGTGAAGTGTGGGATGTAGATGGGTAGAGGGCAACACAGAAGAAGGGTCTGGGGTAGGAAGGGGTGGGAAGACAGCAGAGAAGCAAATATGGAGCAGAGCTGTGTAAGAGGCAGTGGGCATTGCAGAGAAGCTGATAGAGATGCATTGTCTAGGAATAAAACTTCACATGTGTAAGCATACTGTAACAGAGAACCATGGCTCCTCCTTCCTCTGCTTTGAAGGATGCAGCGCCCGCGCACCATGCAGCACCCAGCACTCACCTGTGTCATAGCGAACTATCAGGGAGCTGGAATGATCCCCGGTCTTCAGCGGGTGAAACTCCACCGTCACTTGCATGGCGTCACCAATCCCGAGAGTCCCAACAGAGCGATCGACAGAGAAAGGGCTGGAACACAAAGACACACATCAGGATTATTGCAGGAGATCTGGGGACTCGATTCATGTCGCACTCTAGCTCACTGCAGCTCACTTGTGCAAGCAAAGAGCAAACTCCCTGCAAGCAGTAGAAGAAAACCAGATCATACAGGATCAGAAACAGAGCTGCTGACTCTCACTTCTGGAGAGATCCAGCCCTCGGAAGATCCTACAGTATGAAATAACCTCATCTCCCCCATACTCTGCATCCAGTGCTCTGCAGTGAGGCTCAAGAGTCCGACTGCGAGCCATGCAATCAGAGAGCAGTTTTTGAAGAGCACAGAGATGGTAAGAGCTATTTGCATGCAGAACTTGACACTGACTTCCTCAGGAATCTCTCTGTTCCTGCCACCTATAAACCTCACCTCAAGAGATGCCAATGTCAAGGCAATGCCTGTCCCAGGGAGATTACACAGTTTGAAATCAGACAGGGAGAATAAATGGCTTTCTTGAAGACCAGAGAATAATTATGGTTTAAATTTGCAGAATTCATTTTTTTACCTTAAAATCATCCTGGTTTAGCCTAAGAGCAAGCACATGTTATCAGCATTTCAGTGAAAGCTGCTCTAAGAAAAGGAACAATCAGAAAATCTGAATGAGTGCAAATGCAGATCAGAGCGATACAATGACGTGGAAACAAGACACAATAGGAGCATCCTCTTTACAGCCTGAACGGTTAAATCCCTAGCTAAATGAAGTGCCATGAACAGGAGCATTTCAAGGCAAGTTTAACAGGAGGTTTGCTACATCTTCACAAGCCATGGAATAGGGCACTCGGGGTTGTTATCCAAACTCAATAACTGTTTGCTTGGCCCAGCAGACAAATTCTGTGCAATGTTTTGCAAATGATTACGAAAATGCGTTGGGGTACTTTGGATTTAATATGAGCAATTACAATTTGTCAGCAGGTAAACAGATCTTGACTGACAGACAAAAAACTCAGTGCTTTAATGCTTAGGGATGAGTCAGATGAAGCATGCTTCAGCACAACGGCAGCTGGGCTTTGTGGCTCTTGAGCAGCCCCACTTAGAAAACAAAAGTTACTGGGTTTAGTGCTTTGCTGGTGGTCAATCTGTCACCTTAAAAACACATTCTGGAGAGTTTTACCATGATCCGAGAATGCAACACAAAAATAATGAGAACAACTGGAGCCATGCGCAAGCTGAGCTTTGCTCATGTAAGTAGTGACAGCTGATGAAGCTGCTGGAGTCTCAGCTCCATACACATGCAAACCAGATATTCAGAATTCTACTTGTTTTGTGTAGTTTGAAATAAAACTTTTGTAAAGGTTCCCATTTCTTTCTTGCAAATCAGGAATTAAATATTTGATTGCTGAATTTTGAAAACTCTTAAAATCCATGTCAAGCAAGATTCCCCATAGGCTGTATCACTCAATAGTTGGCAAGCATATTGCAAAAAGATGCCAGGCATTTACTGGGTGTTTATTTGGGTAGCAACAACTAGATCTGGAAATCCCAGTGGAAAAGTGTACAGTGATTTACGAGTTTCTGCCTATGTATTTTCCACAGTGAAAAGCAGCAGCTTGCTTAAATAGCATCCTAGAAGCCTCCTTAAATAGCTTTGCCAGGCTTTGGCAGAAGCTCTTCTTGGACCCTCACAGTTCACAAGAGAAAAGTAAAAAGTTTTCTTCTGAGCCCTGTGTTCTCGGGGCAGAAACTGAAGCAACTCCTGTGGCCCCAAGTCAGACGGCAGGTCTTTGCTGCATTCTTGACCTCAGCCCCTACACCAAGACCTCTGGGGCCAAGCAACTCTCAACTAATTACCAGCCAACGGAACCAGCTTCCTTGCAGATATGGTGCCAAAAAGGCATTACCCCTCCAATTCAGCAAACTGGAAAACTGGTGACAGGCTTCTGAGACCAAAGGGAGCAGTACAGGCTGTCCACAACACAATTCACCTCAGGCATTTGATTCAGGGACCACCGGAATACCACGTGCTTGTGCCCCCCAGGGAAGGGGTGTATTTGGCTGGCAGTGGTATGGAACCACTTCAGAAAGTACTTGTGACCAGGAGGTTGCAAGCTAGCTACTAACATATTGAGCACTCTTCAGGAAATCCAGGAGAGATAAACCTCTAGAAGAAAAAGCCCAAACCCATGCACCAGATATTTGCTGCATCTTTTGCCTGTGCCCTCACTTGCACTCTGGTTGGGGGCTGCAGTGCAGCTTTGAAGCCAGTGTCTGCTCGTTGGTTCTAGGGACCAGACCAAACCTACCGGAAAACAAAGTTCCTGGACCACAGAGTGTTATTCTCGGGGCCTCAATATCAATTGCTTTGATTGACAATCTCCAATTACACTTGCTATTACAGACACAGTTGCTGATAAATTCTAAACCGTCTCTTTTACAAGCGCACAGCTGGTCATTTCCTAACACTGGGTTTGGTCTATGTGAACTGACCTCCTAGAGCTGTCATCTGCCACGCAGCATCCCGTACAGCCCAAGGGCAGTCAAGTGGCCTTCCTGGATTTGGTCTTTCAGCCTGACAGAATCAGCCTTGCAAGATGCTGTGCTGGAGACACCACTGCAGTACAAAGCTTTGCTGCAGCTTGCAGAGTTTTATCAAAGGCTGCATCATGCTTAAAACATTATAAGCACCAGCAAAACCCACGTGTCCTGCCCACTTCCAGCTACAGCGGCATTACAGCAGCTCAGATGCTCCAGTGTCTTTTTCTTACAGTTCACCAACTACATTATCACGCACCAGTGCTTTGCACAAGATACCAAGTTCCTTTACCTCTCAGTGCTGATGCAGTAGCGGGCCTCCCGATTACCGATGTTGTGAATGAACAGAGTTTTCTCGGTGCTGTACTTGACCGGACAGACGGAGAAGTTCACCTCGTCAGGGAAGTCCAGGATAGCTCGGGCACCTATCGTTCGGATCGGCACAAGAAACTTTTCCCTTTCTGTGATGCAAGTGACCTTGTGGAAGTAATCCTGCAGGGAAAGAAGCAATCACAGCACAGGGCATCCAGCACCACCCCCACGGCAGAAGGAAAACTGCTGTTTTCTGTGGCTCTAACGGTAGCATTCAGTAATGTAATTGTACTTTTTACTTAACGACCTTTCATTCCAGCAACATGACCCGGACGGGGCGGTTAACTTGCAAAGAAGAAACAACCCCATTGAATCACCAGCTTTTGCAGCAAGCTGGCAGAACCAGACAGAATTATCGGACACTTTGATTCTGAGACACCAAAAGAGAGTCATTTCACATAAGGAATTACAGCAGTAACAGAACCTGCTTCGACCACTACTACAGACTATTAAAGGCACCACTGAGAACCCAACCCCAGCAATGCAGCGACATCATTGAAGCTTGGCAGGGGATGCTCGGGCACATTTTCAAGACGACTTCGCCACATGCACGATCAACAGTCGGTTTTTGGTGAAATACTTAGCAAGCTGGACACAATAATTGTTTTAATGGCAGCTAAGGGAAGGGTATATGTCTATTTCCCACCCTTTCCTATAGCATCACAGGGACAAGGCTGGGGACACACACCCTTAAAAAAAAAGGTGATCTGATCCATCTCCCCACCCCTGACCTGGCTCAGCTCTATACCCAAACCATTCTTGCAAGGTGTTTGACAAGTCCCCAAAGCACTAACAATCCCCCCCTGCCCTCAGCAGCCTGTTCCAGCTCTATCCTGGACTTAAAGAGTTCTTCCTGCATCTCATCTCAGTGTCCCTTTACATCTCATCCTAGCCTCAGGGGACGCAGGAAATAGTCTGCTTCCTCTTGATCTCGTCCCTCTTGTAAGATCTCTAGAAAAAGTGACTTGGTGCCTTGTTAGCAGGGTTGCCTGAGACAGGTGATGGCAGGGGCTGCAAATGGGAGGTGCTGGGACATTCCTACCCGAGCAGCCTCACCTGGGCTATTCCCATCACTGACTTGTTCAGGAAAGAGACAGACAGAGCCACCTCCCCTGGCCCCAGCTGTCTGGCACGTAGCAATAGGAAGGTGAATCAAACCACCCAAATCACTTTACTGTAGGGACGAGCAGCTCCATCTCCAGATGCATGGTGTGGCATCGCTGGGCTGGAAATATCGCCTTGCCCCCGCTGAAATCAGTGCTAAAAACACTGCACAGGGCCAGAAGCCATCACCTCCAGCAGCCTTCTTACTTATGAGTTGATAAAAGCTGCTCTGCCTCTTATCACTCACTATCCCGATCTTTTTTTCCTTCGTGCGTATAACTTGAGATTGCCTGCTTGCTGCTTCAACAATTATAAAAAAAACCCAACTGATTCAGGAATTGCACACAGCAGAAAACTCCCTTAACCAGAACTGATTCAGATTCCCCTGTGCTTGAGCTTTCCTGCTCTCACACTCATCCTCTCCAAGCCTGGAAGGGACCTAAGGCAGCCAGAGGAGGCACAGACACAGCCACGGCTTTAACACAACCACCGACAGCCAGCGCCTACCGACCACTGCCCCAGCACACCAACCACCTGCTCAGCTGGGGCTTAGGGGAACAGATGCTGTCATAGCCAAAATGTAAAAAGAATAAAAGGAGGTTTGGTTTTTCTTTTTTTTCCTGGGCATTTCAAATATTCACACTGGAAATTGCAGAAAGGCTTTAGCTTCTCATATTTGGAAGGCAAAATACCAGGAAGGAAACTGCCGCAAACGACCTACCGAACTGAATATTACATTTCAGGAGAGCGTTTCATCTTCAGCAAGTCTTTCTGAATTAGCAATTTTGTACTCAATCTTGCAGCCTAAGCCCTCTAAAATAAAAGCTACGGGCAGCCCACATGAATTTAAAGCACCTATTATCTGGGTACTTCACGTCCTGGACTGTTTAGATCCTCAGAAACTGCATCAGCAAGTGAAAAATGTTACTTTTTTTTTGTTATTTTGGCCACATTACTGTAACAAAGGCATTGTAAATCCTACTAAAAGCTGTGTGCCTTATTAAGTCTTGGCATGCCATATTTACTTATCTCTCCCTTCCAGATGTCAAGTAGACAGAGGAGGATGCAAGGAGTTCAGATCAGCAGGAGGATAAAGAAAAAAGAAACTTCAACAATTGGCAGCATTTGAGGGAAGTGAAAGGAAATAATTCCCAAGTCATTGACACTGCTAAGGAGCAAGTGGATCAACAGCAATGTAAATAAGAGCCCAGGGAATAAATACCTCCTCCTCACAGGTGGAATCCCCCCAAAAGCTAGCACCAGCAGCCTTCCCAGCTCCGCTGCCGCTGAGGGGTGCTGGGACTGCGGCACAGCAACACACGGGGAAAGGGACGTCTCCAGGCGTGCGAAGGCAAGGCTAAAGCAACACGGATGTGGCCTCACAGAGACAGCCGTGCCCTTGTGAGAGACAGGTGTCTCTCTCTGCCCTTTGAGCCTGCTGATGAGCAGAGATGCCCACTGTGTGCCAAGCCCCTTCTCCAGGGACATCGTTTCCCACCAAGCCTCGGCTGACCCTTCAGCCACACTCCGGGACCCAGCACCAAAGCTGAAGGCAGTGTCAGGCCGAAGAGGGGGAAACACAAGGAAAGAGGGTGCCAGGCAGATGCTGGCTGGTCATGCTGCTGTGACCCATGGCCCCTTGAGCCTCTGAAAGCAGAATCACCCTCCCTTGGGAGGAGATGAAGGCTGCAGTCCTCCACTGCAGCACTGCCCTGGGTACCAGCTCTGCTTACAACCTAGGGGTACAGCTGAAACCAGCTCACAGCCTCGTTTCAAACTGTTTCAAACCAGGTTTCCAAATATACATGCCTGGGCAAGAGAGGGGCTGCATCGCTTCTATGCTTTAAAGATTGTGTTTAGACACAGCCTCAGGCTACAGATTTTCACAAAAATATTACTTCATCCTTCAAACAACTCCTCAGTTTCAGGGAAAATACAGCTCATCGTACAATGGCTCCTCTTCTCTCACAGCCCTTTGAGAAGCACTAAGTTTCAAGCTCTGGCCTTCCAAGTACCACCACTGGCATTTGAACTTGCACCCACTGAAACTACAGCAACTGCTTGTCTCAGAGATGCCATTTCAGGCTCTTTGCAAACTCAGGCTAACATTAACTGATGCCACAGAGATGTTAACCTTAACGGCCCAGTGCGCCAAACTCTGATGGCAGTGTTACTGTAGAATCCATCCACAATACTTCTCTGAATTCCTTGCAGCAGACAACTGCAAAGAAAAGATCCTTTCAGCGTGAGGCAATGTAGTAAGTCAAAGAGGTAAAGCTCCCTGCTGAAACCACGATACCATAAAGTCCGGAAAATAAGGGCCGTTAAGAGAGAAGAGGGAGACCAGAGGGTGAAGATAGCTTCACATGAGAAGGGGCACCCCTTCCCCTGCCTCCCTCAGCTACCAATTCACAGGATGCTTTGATGTGAGTCGCTTTGCTCCAGGTTCACTTTGCGCAGGGCTGTTTGCCTTGATCTTCTGCCCCTCTCCTCCTCCCAGGAGTCTTCTTAAAAGTACACTTGGAATAGCTTCTGTGTGCTCCAAAACATCCAAGTGGGCTGGACTGGATTTTAAAGGAGTTAATTTTAGTAGCGCAATAACTCCTTGTCCTGTCATATTTCATATTAATCAACGAGCATTAATTCAGTCTCCAGTGAGCATCCGTAATGAATCTTGCAAACCTTACAGACTGAACTTGAATTGCCTGAAAATATTGTCTTGCTACAGTGAAAAGAGCAAGAGGACAAAACAGAAGCAGCTGTGCTGGGTTTAGATGCTTCTTGCTTCCTTCTTCTTTTCAGATAATCTATTAATAAGCCTGAAGGACACACAAATGCACATATTCCTGTTTGTTGTTTATTTGCCAGTCAGTTCCACAATGGTTTCCAATTAGGCAGAGACTGTCAGACCGTAATGCAAGGACACCCGGGAACACAGGGCGACATGAGAACACCCACACTGTACAACCAGAGCCATGAAACAGAAATGTGTAAATCAGAAGCAGCAAGAGTAACTAATTGGAAATGTTGCCCAGCAGAAAAATTAGCATTTCATATTTATAACGCAAGCGCCAATAAACAGACATGTCAGCTATTTATTTACTTTCTGACAGCCCGATCACGCGGCACATTCCCAAATGACTGCGAGACAATAGGAAACTGCTCATTTTTCAGGAAAGGGCTGCATGACACATGGCATTTCAGCCACTAACAGCTCACATGGTCCTTTTATTTAGGGCTTAGCCACAATTTTACTCCCTTGAATCAGGAGTGACTTTGCTGAAGTGAAACTTACCCCAGGAAAGAGGAGATTCAAAGCAAGAGAATGATATACACCAGCTCCACATCAGGAGGACTCTCCAACCCTGACAGAGGGGTTTGTACCTGCACCCCAGTTCACCGGCTTATCCACAAGCGCTGTGGATCACAGAGCATCAATGAGAGGCAGTGGTTGTTCAAAGGCAGCACTCGTAAGCCTTCCACAACTAAACCGCAGATATTCTGCACGCAAGCAACTGCAAACCCAACGCCAGAAGCTTTCCCAAAGCCTGCCTCTTTGCTAAAAGGTTTTCAAGGTGCTGTGCACTCCTGACCGCACTAGCGATGCATTTCTAGCTGAGCTAGAGCACTCTGGTACTTCGCTGACTCACACTCCAAGTACGAGACAAAATGTTCGATTTGTACAAAATTCCAACTCTGCTGTACGAATCCCCACGTGCTCCGCGCCGAGCAGCTCGCAGCCCTCTCCCGATGCCCTGCGCGACCCCTGCAAGGAGCACAAAACCCAGGTCAGCAGAAACCGCCTGGGTGTCACTGCAGCTGCGCGGAGGATCTCTCCCTGCTCCACACCCTCACCAGCTCAAGGGCAGGACAAGGGACAAAGGACTGGACGTTAGTACTCTCCAGGGTCGTCTCACCCTACTTGTAATTTGTGGCCATGTTCATATGCTGCTCTGCTGCCCCTCTAAACTTGAAGAGCAGCACTTTGCCCTTCATGGGCACCAATTTAACTCTTCCACCCCAAAAATGAACACTAATACTAATCATTCACATTTTCAAGGCACCAGAGTGCTTCGCAAAGCCTACCTCAGTGAGACTGAGCTCTTGTGTCACTTGGGAGTATGGAGAGCTGCCCTAGGCCAACAAAGTTTTTACCCTAAACGTTAATCATGTTAAGTAATTTCTCAGTCCCTCTGAAAGAAGAGATTATTTCAGAAGCATGGGAGCGAGGGACCACAGAGCATTTCCTCTTTGGTTTTCTATATCCATGCTGTTTAAGGATAGGAGAAAGTGTTCAACTAAATCTAAGCAGCAAATGGAAGATGAGAAGACAGCTATGCCCAAAGAGATCTTGCACCTCTGGCCTGGTGCAGAAACATCAGCTGGCTCAGAGCTATCCCCTAACCCTGCCTCTCCAACAAAGCCATGCCAAGAACACTGCTAAGAGGCAGCAGGATGCTGCTGAAAGGGTCAGCCTGCCTGGTTCTGCTTTCCTGCAATGCTTCCTCCCTTCCATGCCACCTACTACATCCTCCTGTACTAACAAGCCTCCAGATAACACCACCGACCCTCCCCATCACAGCACTGGGCATCAGATTTGCCAGGGCCACTGATGTTCAAACCTCCAAGCAAAAGCATCGCGTGTTTGGCACGGGATAGGTGCCAGTTGACAGAACCACAATAACATGCACAAAGACACAGCCAGACCACGGGCTCCGGGATAAGGTGTCCGCCTACAGATTGTACCTGCCCGTTCATTCCTGTGCATGCTCTTTCAGGCAGATGCCTCAAAGTCATTTGCAGCACAGCAACCTCCTGTTGAGTTCAGGACACCTAGAGCTCAGCATGCCTGTGCCAGGCTGGCTCCCCGCCACGTGCACAGCACTCCCTCTCCCCCAGACTCGCAGCTGGATCATAGGCAGGCAGCTATCCTCAGGGACAGCACAGCTGCAAGGTTTGAAAATAGACGGTGGGAAAAAGCATCGTCTTTGCTCTGGTCCAGAGTGAGGCGGGGAAGCGGCTGCCAGATGGGACAGAGAAAAGCTCTCTTCCAGAGAGAGCTCTCTTCCAGTCTATTTGTTCCTCTAGTATTTTCCCCAATAATTAAACCCCTACCGCTGAGTAGAGAGATGGCTAAACATCTTATCAACACCCCTCCCTGCCATTGTCCTACTGTTCCATGTGCGACTTCCCTTGACAACGCTCAAGAAAGCACAGGGAGGGAAAGCACAAGCCATCAGTCCCTGTGGTGGTGGCTGCCAGCACCACACCAAGCCAAGATGTGACTAGCTGCAGACTGCCTGGCCACTGCCTAGAGCAGACCTCAGAGGGGTGTGGGCTATAACCAGTGTGCAAAAAAAAAAAAAAAAAAAAAAAAAAAAAAACTTCTCAAAAAAACTTTCACTACTGCTGCATCCAACTTGATATACATGTAGACGACTCCAGTTTTCAACGGTGGCGGTCCTGACGCTGATCAGGCTTGCTTTGGGACCTCCAAATAGCAGGTCACTTTTAAACAGACTTTTGTATTTATAATCAGTGGAGCAAACCCATAATTATACAGCAACAGACTGATACTAGAAACCAACACCCTGAGAGGCCACCTCACCACCGAGAGTAGACTCTCTTATCCCCAAGCCAACAGACATGACATTAAATGTTCCAGTGCTGAAGGATAAAAACAGCCTGAAACATGTCAAGAGCCTCTAGCCTACGAGAGCACAATCTTCATCATGAGGAAAGAGCTTCCCCAGTTCTAGATGCAGCGCAACCCCACTGAAACCAGGACAGTTCCTCCAAACCCACACCAGATGCCCTGTTCTGACTCCAGCCCTGCAGGTTCACCTCCCACTGAAGGCACCAACCTCTCGGGACCTCCACTCTCACCTTGTTCTCCACAGGCCTGAAAACGATGTGGAAAGTTAAAGACATGCCAGGTGCTACCTTACAGCACACATCACTGGGGCTGATCAACTTGAAATACGGTGAGCTCTCCAAGACGACCTTCACCAGCCGAGGAACCTGCAGGAAAGACACAAAACTATAATTTTGCCACTTGTGGAAACATAAGAAGAGACCTGGCCATGCCCTGGTGACACCCTTCCTTGCCCACCTTTCCAAAGCACTTTCAGCTCTGGAGGTACATGCACATAATACACAAGGGGGAACTTGAATCCCTTCTGCCTGGGCAAAATAGCTCAAGGCCAGAGGCAGCAGGGCAACATCCCCCTGGGAAGGGAGCACGAAGCAGATAAGACAGCAGCAGCATGGAGATACAATACCTGAACCATATTCAACAAGCCCAAAGAATCCACTGAATTATCTGAAGGCAAAACAGGATTTGTTATAGCGGGGCAAGGTGGAAATTCACTTCTCCCGTACGAGGTTTGAGGGAGGCAGCCAAGGTGCAGTGCTACAGAGTCCTGCCGGCAGAGCAGCAAGAGAAGGAGACCACAGACTTTGTTGCCTTACTAGGAATAAAAGCAAGCTGAAGCAGAGCAAAAGGAGAAATGTAGGAAAACAAGGAGACAACCCCAGAAACAAGGAGATGGCTAAGAGAATTTAAAGGGGGCTGTAAAGCAGCAAGGAAGGAGCAGAATACTCTACAAGGAAAGGCTGCTGCAGGAGACAAGAGCAGTCAACTTACCAAAATAATGGAAAGCCAGATGACCCCCCAGGCTGTGCCTATCAATTATGGGCTTCAAAGGCATTTTCTGCCCCAAGATACACAACCAGCAGTGACTCACAGTGTAGTTTCATTATTAAAAGCCAACCTGAGCTCTCCAGAGGCTCTTGCTGCCTGGTGATTGTAGCCAGGCAGCTGCCAGTGCAGCCAAGCCAAATTTCTGTGTGTTCCTTCCCCACACCCTGGAGTCCCCGCGAGCACCCTGCTGCAGGCTTCTGCCCTCCGCCACACCACAATCACGGGGACACCAAACAGGCATTTTCTAGCACACAGAAATCAACCCCTGAGCGCCCAGTCTCATCTCAGAAAGTCTAAAACAGGCCATTTGGACTGACAGGCAGCTTCATCGATAAACAACAAACCCACACAAGGCTCAGGAAAAATGGAGATCCAACCTGCACCACCCACCCGAGCCTGATAACCCATGGCCAAGGCAGCCCTGGGCTCTCCAAACGCCCTTCGCTCCCAGCGATGCCCTGGGGCAGCAAGTTCCAGGAGCCTATTTCACACTGCAGACAAAAGTTTTGGCCACCGAGCCCCTTGGGAGATGAGCACACGCAGCTAAGACCTTCAACAAAAGCCACCCAGAACACCTCTGAGGGTGCTGAGGAGCAGCCTGAAGTCAGAACAGCAATTTTACAGCACACAGGGAAGAACGGTAAGTCCACAGCAAAGCACTTCTGTACCTGAACGATTACCCAGCCTCTATTTGGAATCTGCTCCGCTGTTAGCTGGATTTTTACAGAGCAGACCACCTCAGGCTAGCGTGCAGTGTAAGTCAGTAATTCAGAGGAATCTGGGAAACTGATGAGAAAATTGAGACAGAGCACAACATTGCTTTTCTCCAGGACGTTACCAAAAGCCAACAAAATTAGAACGTAATAACCTCTCTTCGGATGATCATTTCTATCTTTGTGCACTCACGCGTGCCAACGATTTTCCTTAGAGTTGATCTTTCTTTTACACCAGTGCTGCCCAATGGTCAAGGTCTTACTAGCTTCAAAACTAGTTCATGACGGAAAAAATCAACAGTTCACATATTGCCTCCTCCTTGTAGGGCATACAAATCCCAAGGTGCAGCTGTACAAGTTTATTACTTTTTTTTATTGGGAATGGCAGAAATGTTGGTGCAGATGTTCTTTTCCACTTGAGGAAGCAGGAATAGAGCAAATTAACTGTTTGCCTGTTGGCTGGTTCTTGGCAAAGACAAACATTTTGAAGCACTGCATGTATAATGGAGCAGCTGAAGCCAAAAGACTTACTGGGAAAGAAGCAGAGTCACAGGAAAAGAGAAACTGAGGCACATTTTCATCAGGAAAGAGGATACCTACAGCGGAGAGTGCCCAGAATCTGTGTGGACCACAGGAATGGTATCCCTTGGGCATGGGCATCGACGCCGCATCTTTCCAATATTCCCAAGCTAACTCCAGACCAGGAACGGCACAGAACTCGCCAGGAATAACTGACAGACCACACTGCATCCTTCCTTGCCAAAGGGTCTTCCATTTTCAGCCATGTCCGTGTCAAAACCTGTTATCCCAGTATATACTTGGACTTCTCTTGCTGTTCCTCCACCTGCAATACACCCTGACATTTTTTTTTTGTCCACGTGGTTCCTCAACAGGCAGATTTAGAGAGGGGGTTAATTCACTGGCTCTCATGTACACTGCCATCTTCCCATCCTGCCCTCCTCTCATGCATACATCTTACTCTTCATTACAGAACACCATCTTCAACTTCCCCTTTCTTTTTCTGACCTTTCTCTCCTTCCAGCACACTTACTGTTACATACAGAGAGAAACCCTCGTGTGTACAACGTTCTCTCCCAGAGCACTTTCTAACTCAGCTCCTTTCCTCCCTTCTGTCTTTCCCACCAGCTTGCTCTTGGCACATGCCTCATTTGAGCAAATGTTTCCCCTGCTGAAATTCAAAAGGTCTCAATTTTCCTCTTTACAGTGGAACAAAATTGCTGACATTTTTCAGCTTTTCCTTTCTCAACTTTCTTGGGAAATCTCAAAATGATCACAATTTTTGCAAGTAAAGGTAGAGACCTTCAAGAGCACGTTACTCTGGATGTGCTGTGGTTCTCCAAAGGGAAAGCAGAGAGACAAGTTGTCTCGGAAAAACTTGAGCACAACTGAATTAAGCTTCCAAGGAGCCTAAAGTGGCACCTAAAGGCCTCCCGCTGCTTCTCCTAAATCGGTCTCTTTCCACTGTTTCAAAACACCTTTCCTGGAGTGCTAGTGCCACTAATTATAACTTATTCCAGCATGAAGTGGAGAACGCTCAACCCCTGTGCTTCGCTAGTGAGTGGCACAAAGCTACAACTGAACAAGCGGTGAGAGGCAGAGGTGTCCTGCCAGAAACCACGAGCAGCCAAGGAGCCACCAGGACACAGCACACACTTGAGGCAAAGCATGAGAGCAGAGAAGAACCATACAGCCCTCAACACTCCCATCAACCCAGGGCTTTCCAGGGGAAGCATGCTGACTAGAAAAGCTCCTGTGAGTTAGATACCACCAACGCACAGCCAAAATCAGAGAGAGAATCCCCAGCATGGGAAGATTTCTACCGTCTTGCAAAATACAAGTTCTGAGACATTTTATTCTGGATGGGCTGTGTTGCAGCAGATAACTCGCTATGCTGTATACCTCTCCTCTTCCACTTACCTTGTCGATGTTCCTCAGAGTCAGTGGCACTTCGTAGACCTCGAAGGGGACGTATCTCTGAAATACCACCTCTGACGGGAAAGGCTGAAACAAGCTCTGGTCCAGGTCAACTGCTGAGAACTGGAGATGCAAGACAGAGCAGTGAGAGGTTCAGCTGCTGCGAGAAAGATTCATGAATGAGAATCCTACATTGACCCCCAGTGAGGTACAGCTCTTGGTGAGTATGTCTGCCCAGCTCACACTAGGGAAACAGCAGCAAATCCACCTGAGTTCTGTGCTGATCAAAAGTTCCTGGACCACACTGAGCAGGCTTAACCTCTTTTGGTAGGTATTTCTCCAGGTTTCCTTCTCCAAAACGCAAGGCAGCGTCACCTCCAGAGCCCTGTGCTAACGGGGCCACACAGCTCCAGAGCATTTGCTGCAAGAGCCACAAGCACTCATGGAGCAAGTGAAACCCATGAATCCACACGAGACTCCATGGGAAACAATTTTGGGATGATTTTTACTCTGAGACAGAGAGACCGAGTCCTGCATGTGCCCAAATATCTTTTTTGCTATAGAGCCTAGAAACCATCAAAAAGAGAACAGTACCAGAAAAGGTAAGGTCAAAAAGTAAAACAGGAGTTAGGAAAAAGACAAAAGAGGTGAATGCTGGATGGTGACAAGGTTCAGCTCTTTTCTCATTACTAAGCAACTTGAGCAAGATTGGACTCGGTCTCTCCTTTTTCCATGAGCTTTAAATGGATGCTTGATTGTATTCTATTATTGCTGTTTTATTTAATACCACAGCAGAAGCATGTCTGAAAATATACACAAACAGCAAATGCTTCCAGAGCAGAGGCACTACTTGGCGAAAGTTCCTCCCTGCTCTGTCTCCCCCTCTTCCAGCTGCACCCTTCCCACTCGGAAGTCACAGGCAGATCTCCTGCTTCTCCACAGAAGTCAGACACGCTGAAGCTAGTCACTGCAGCACACCGCCGGTTACTTGTGCACTCATCTGATGCATTCCCGACCTCCTGTGCTGTCTAAGGCAATGCTTAACCAATTTGTTACGGATCTCTTGCTGGCACTTTTCCACTCAACAGCCTACCTCAGTAATCTACCCATTTGGACTGTGTGTTATACTGAGCAGTCCTGGAAGAAAAGCAGCTTTAAACACGCATCTAAGTAAACATTGATCCAGATAAAGCACATCCACGCCACTCTGCTCAAGGTGATTCCCCTGCACATCTGGCAGCCAACAAGATCTAACAATCCCGTAAGTGTCCCACACGTTGTTCCAACCCAAAGCATTAATGCAACTGGTTTTGTTAAATCTGGAGTAATTACCATAGGCTCTCCAGCTTTCAAAGGCCAACTTGTCTCTGTTGAAGGAGTCCTATGACCCCCGAGCATGTGACAGTGACTACATCAAAGCAAGAGGTGGCTCTTTCAGCAGGAGGATGGAAAATGGCAAGCTCATGCCCTTGTGTCCTGCCCCAGCCTTGCCCCAGCATCGTGCTTTAGTCACGGCAGCCAAACTCCAGCAAAAGCCGCCACCTTCAGCAGAGGTTACGTATACTGGCTTAGCGCAGATCAGGGCTTCAACGGCTCACCAGGGAAAAATGTTTTACCTTTCCCCCAGGAGAAGGAACTCCACCACAAGCAGGTTTGAAAGGACAACAGGACCTCATCACCGAGGTATTGAGCTAAGCTGGAGGCAAGCCTGTCACAAGCACGCATCCTCTTCAAATACCACATCAAACAGCAAGGAAAAGGGCAGGAAAAGGCTACCTTTTGATGGGAGGCTTCACTCATGTCTAGAAGCTGGATAATCTGGGGCTGCCTCATCTCCTTCGTGCTGGCCAGCCTCTGCTTGCTGGTCAGAGCCATCTCCTTCAGAAAGGCAGAGGGAGTCAGCTGAAATGCAAAACACCAGCAAGAGCTACAGACATGCCTTCGTTCAGAAAGGCTTTTCTTGTTCAAGTGCCACTGATGAATAATTTGTGATCACAGCCACTAGGCTAGTCCTGGAAGTCCCGTAAGTTACCTGCTGAAATATTTAACATCCATAAATTAATGATCTAGAGCGGAATACACATGCTCTAACCAAGTGACTCTGTCCCATTAGCTTCTCCTTCATGATTTGATGTGACATGTTTGGGGATTCTGCTCTTCGGGCATTTGTTTTCTCTTTAGTTTTGCTGGATTGAGCCAGTGACCTTTGAAGAGAGTAGGGAGGAGTTATCAGAAATCCCCAACTCCATCCTCGCACAATGCTCACAACCAACGTGTGTGGAGATGTCACTGCTGGGCGAGGCGGAGGAAAGCAGAAAAGCAGCATTGTGCCAAGACTGAGGTGGAGACAAATGGGTCCAAGTCTTTTTAATTAGCACTTGTTTTCTCGCTGTTCTGGCCTCGCAGACCCCTCCCCAGAAGTATACAGAGATATCTCCTGCAGAGGACAAGGTGGAACAGATTTAAGCTGAAAGAGGGGAGGGTTTAGATTAGATATTCGGAAGAAATGTTTTCCCGTGAGGGTGGTGAGGCAGTGGCCCAGGTTGCCCAGAGAAGCTGTGGATGCCCCATCCCTGGAGGGGTTCAAGGCCAGGCTGGATGAGGCTTTGGGCAACCTGGGCTAGTGGGAGGGGTCCCTGCCCATGGCAGGGGGTGGCGCTGGATGGGCTTTAAGGTCCCTTCCAACCCAAACCATTCTGTGATACGTCACCTTCAGTCAAGTGAGCTCCAGTCAGCAAAGGGGGCATCTGGGGACAGGAAGGAGGAATTGCCCCAATTCCACCGCATTTGCAGGGTTGCATGTGTGTTCCGCACAGGACAAGAGATACAACAAAATGACTGGTCTGGAACCTATTCTGCCTGGAACCAGCCATGTCTCCCAAGTTTTGAGGGCGAGTCTGAGCAGCCCACCGCATGCCCAGCTGCCTAGAGGTAAGTCAGGGCAGCACCAGCAAGTACGCCCACACGACAGAAGATATTACTGCCCACACTGCAAAAAGGATGCAGAGCAGCACATGCTGGTGCTTCAGTTATTCCGGTGCAACGCCCAGTACATCTGTTTAACTTGGCTCCAGTGGCACATGCAGACGAGCCCCTGGGCTTTCCCTGCAGCAGCACACAGCCCATCCCCACTGCACGGGGACAGGCCCCTCCAGCAGCAGCCCCCCAGCACAGAGACAGGGAGCTGGCAGCTGGTTTCACAGTGCTGCTGGGACAGGGGAAGGCAGAGGAGGGACACAGGGGGAGTTTCCCACCTTCACAGCTCCTCCCTGCCCACAGCAGGTACTTACAGTTACAGGCTCCTCTGCCTCTTTGACGAGCTTTGGATTACAAGGTGCCATCACATCACGCTGGTACTTTGGAGCCAGTCTGGAGGACCCCATGGACCCACGAATCTCGCCAGTGGCCATGTCTCAGCTCACCTGGAAGGAACAACAGTGGGATTTTGAAAATCCAGAATCCCAAAGGACACACCTGTGTCTCCAGGCTGTGGCATCATTCACGAGTGGAGAACATACGGCCTCCCCCCCAGTTTCATGATTAGACTGTATTTCAGTGGCAGAGTTAAGATTCATTGAACAAACATTCCCTGAGCCAAAACAGACTTCTGCTGTGGCACAGACCCACAAGCCACAAACATACACCAGGTCCTGCTCAGGACCCTCCCCCTTCCATTATTTTAGGAACCCCACTCACTGAAATTATTAACCAAATTGCTATTAATAGCCAAACTGTCCTTTATGACTCCCTAAAAGTTTTTTGGTGGCAACAGAAGGAAGTGTCACTTAGCTGCTTTATTTTGCAAGAGCAGTGTGCCAGACCCTGCTATGTGCTCAGAGCATGATGAACAACCTTAAACCCAGAGATCGCTGCTGCCCACAGCGGTACCAAAAATCAGAGCACTTTCCAACCCTGCAAACCCCATGCCCACCCTGTGTGCAAGGAGCCTGGTGATGTTTCCGACTAATGGAGCAGAGAGCTCAATACTCTGATTAAGAACTATAGTTTCTCAAGGCTAATTCTGTTGGTTTAAGTTACAAAAATTATCCAGCAAATATGACTCCTTCCAGGCATGAAATTACCCCAGCGCCCGAGAGCATTTCTCCATGGAGAATGAGGGCCCTAATTTTCACTTATTAACACCCAAACTCAAGGCTCCCTACAGGCATTAGAGGCTGGAACGGCAGAAAGCAAAGCATGAAACCATTAAGGGAACACGAGCAATTAGCTCAAAAATAAATGCAACATATGTGAAAGCAGGGCTGCTTCAGAGTTTATCCTAATGGCAGTTCTTCTGCTCACCCTACAAGCAGCATGGGTTAACAGGGTCACCATGCCCACATTTCCAGAGGGCTTCCCCCCTCCAGCCCTGCCGGGAGGCACTTTCACAGCCCGGTCCCCCTCCCCAGAGCCCGCAGGGATCAGCCCCCCAGTGAGGAGGAAGGAATGGGCCACATCTCCCTGCAGAAGCGGGATAAACCAGCACCCACACCACAGCACGCCCCCAGCCCACCACCCCTGGCTGGTGGGGGGAGATTTCCGAGTTCCCCACCTCAGCCAGCCCTCTCCTTCCCCGCCAAAACGTGGGGAAGGATTGCAGATCCCCTCCGCCCCGCACTCAGGCACAGACAGCTCCGGCACCCCAGCTCTAGGCTCAGAGCACAAACGCCCCCAGCCTGGGCAGACGGACCAGCTGTGCCAGGACAGCACCTAAGAAACGTGCCCAGGGCTGGGGCAGGAATTCCTGCCTTGTCTCAGGAAACCCAGAGGGGTCAGAGCAGGGTGCCAAGCTGAAGGTCACCAAGGATGTTCAAGCTTCAGCCTCCTCCCCAAAGCCCCTTTGCTCCAGTATCTCCAGCTAAGCCAGAAGTCTCGCCCATCGCCGCAAGCGGCTCAGCGATTTTATAACCCATTAAAACCCCTTTCCCCTCCCCAGACTTGCTCTTGGACCAGGTATATAGTTAAATCCCAGGAGTATCACACAGCTGCTACCTCCCTGCTGCGGGCCAGCTGCCCACAAACCTGCCCAGTGCCCAGGTGCTGCCTCAGGACAGGTAATTCACGCTGCTCTGGGAGGATCTGCTTCGTGGAGCACCCAGCCTCACCTCCGGAGTCACCACGGTCTCTTTGGAGGGACAGGAGCTGGTCGAGGAACCGCTGCTCTGACCGTGCTCTCACCAGACCAGGAGTAGCTGCCACAGCCACCACCAAACCGCCACAGCCACCACCAAACTGCCCCTGGGCTGGTGGATTGTGGGAGCCTCAGTGCAACCTGGGCAGCAACTGACAAAGCTCTAGAATGGGGTTGCCCAGCAACCCTCCACAGCTGTTACAGCCCTGCCAGGCAGAGCAGGAGCATTTCGCTGGGACCTCAGAGCTCGCCCTTAGCGGCAGTCCTGCTCTGACTGGGGAGATACCACACTGCACAGCACAGGGAGAAGCTTCTCAAAACAGCAGCGTCTCCTCCTGGAATTAGCATGGCAGGGGGGGTCTACTAGCCCCGGGAAACTACTAGCCCAGGAAAGAGGGGGGCTTTACCACCTCAACCAGTTCCACACCAAGGGAGCAGATGCATGTTCAAGCACGTCTGTTGTTGGGATTTCTTCAGCTCTGCACTGGATGGGGACTATGCTTTCTGCATTGAACTTTCTCCATCTCATAATTGGTCAACTTGGTCTCTGCCCTGGTGGTTTACATGCCACTGAAACGCCTTGATGAAGTTATAGCCCTGCAAATCACTGCAGCCCAGCTATTCCTTAAACATCTCATTCCGCAGTGAATGATTGCGGCAGTATTGGAAAGTACGCCTTAGAGTAGCATTTGTTAATGTTCCACAAGCTCCAGATAGATTAATTTAGACACTGCAGACAAGCTAATAATTTCTTTGTTTAAGGAGCAAAGAAAAAGTTTCCACGCTGGCTTACAAAGCAAGAATTTAATTTCTCTTTTGCTCGCCCAGAGAGGACCCCAGTCACATCAATGTAAAGGAGAGCAGGCAAATCACCGTGTTGCCGTAGCTCCGACAATGCCTTTGGGGGTGTCCTCTGCTGTTGCACATGGTGAATACCCACCTGATGAGCTTGTTCCAATTAACCGCGCACTCAGACACACACACCAGCCAAGGACACCCAACAGCATCTCGGCTGCCAGGGAGCTTCACACACTTTCAGCACAGCATATGCTGTCAACAAAAGCTTCTTGGGAGACTCCCAGCCACAGGCAACCAAATCCTCACATCTGCTTGGCAGGGAACAAGGAAACCTCAGTTTGAAAACCAATATTCATTATTTGGGGGTTTACAATCCATGCAGGGAAGACCCGAGTCCCTCTCTACCCAGCTAGCCTGGGGAAACTTGCTCTAAAACATCTCCTATGTGGTGTCCTGCTACAAATCTGAGTGTAAACTGGAGAGCTCAGGCAAAGAAACCTCAGATGCAACACCCTTGTGTGCTCAAGGCACCCAGGCAGAAGTGCTATAAGAAAGGGAAGCTGGATAGGGGGGTGACAGCTCCCATCTCAGAAGGCAGAACCTGTTGAGAGATGGCAAGGCGAGACCCACCGAGTCTCCCGCGTGGTCTGAGATGCACTCCCAGGGCTGCCACCTCGTGCTCCTTCCCAGCAGCTCAGCGCCTCACAAGCAATGTCAGAGCCTCACCTGCTCAGCACGGGAGTGACTCCTGCCCACAGCAGGCAAACAGCATGCCTGGAGCTGGTTACATGCTCAGAGGGCTTGCCAGAGGACCCCCAGGTGCTCAGCAAGGCAAACGGCTGCCCACACAGTTATCTTCACAGCACTGCATTGTAGAAGTGACACGAACCCCATGGAAGGCTTGCAAGCACCTCAGCACCCCAACCCTGCTCCCCTCAACCTCATCAGCCCTGCTCCCACGCTGGGCTGCGTTCCTGCTATTGAACTCACCATTCGTCTTTCCAGTCCAAGCCTTCCTGTCCTCCCAGACAGACGGAGGGGGCCAAAGCCGTTCCTTAGCCCTGGTTGTCAGCCCAGAGCAGGTCACTCCCCATCTAGCACTGCTGAGTGGAGCAGTGAGAAGAAGCCTCATCTGCAGGCTAGCAGCTGGGATGCTTGGGAGCTCAGGAAAAGCCTTGGCTGGGGTCTCTGCTCCCTGGATTACACAGTTTTAGCTAATGACTATTTAACATGCCATACATAAGCAGCCTCCAGAGGAAAAAAAATAAAAAATAAAAAACCCACACCAAAAACTAGAGACCAGGATCATCTTCAAAGTGAAGGAAAAAAATGTGTTTCATGATGTGGGCTCACAGCTACTAGAGAGTCCTTGCCTCAGGCTAGGCAGAGGAGAAGGGTCTGCACAGGATGGCTCTGCTCCCAGCCAAGTACTTTTGCCCATGAGCTACAGTTGCAGTAAAGAGAAGCACCTTCCCCTCTTCAGAGCAGCAATATTAACCTCTGAACCCTACCTGGCTCGTGATACAGGCTAGGGTCATACGGCCAAAGTATCTGTAGGCACAAGGCAGGGCTTCACAGCAACTCCATCGTGCCAGGACCTGGGAAATTCTGAAGGCTCACCAGCAGAAATGCAGGCACAGAGGGGCCCTCCAGGGCCCGGGAGCTTGGCAAAAGCTGTGCTGAGGAAAAAGTGGATGTGAGCACTTAGATATGGCCCTAAAGTACTCAAATCCCTTTGTGCATATGTCCAACAGCTTCCCTCTGTAAAATAAAACCAAACAGCTCTCTGATGATACTGTGCTGAAAGAGACAGGAAATTAAGAACAAACAGCAAATTTCTTAATGGACATTAAAAAAAGGGAAGTTTCATGTAAAGGCACAGCTTGACGTCTATACAGACCCTGCAGCTGTCACTGTGCCACGTGCCAGTGCTCTTCTTCCAGGGGACCGACCCCACGTCACTTGTGCCGAAGCAGTAGCACCAGCCTCCGAGCTGCCAACCGGTCGCCCTCTGAGCTCAAAGGCTGGGATGCATCAGCACACTCTGCATTACAGTACGCTGTGCCCAGCTTTTCTTCTACAAGCACAGACTGGTGGCCAAGTTTTGCTTCAGTATACACAATAAATCCTCTTTCTTCCTCCTTCCGCAAAGATAAACCATCTGTCTCTGGAATAATTGATTAATTTGCCTTTCTATTACACTTTGCTGGAAGATGAGACAGGAAAGCTGTTAGAAGTGAGCATCAGGATGCTGTTGAACAATTTTGTTCTTCTAAATTATCTTGCCCTGTTCAGGCTTAAGTAGCAAGATCACATTTCTTGCCTAGAAATCACCTGCTTAGCTATAATGACCATATAAACAGCATCTCAAGGAAGCCAGGAAAGGAGACGCAGAATCTCCAGGACTAATCTCTTGCCTGTCCAGCCCAGTGCCAAGTGGCTGAGTGCTTTCTAAATCAAGCCTTGCTACCCAGGAGGCCT